AGTAGAATGATTATTTTAATTACAACGCTGTACGCGACGATATTCAATATTAAAATATAAAAGAGTAGAATGATTATTTCAACTGAATCATAGATTAGCATTTTACCAATACGCAGAATTATACTGGGAAGTCATAAAATGCGTGGGCTGGAACGGTGGTCACACAGATCACATCCGTGAGCCGAGATACAGTATCTATAGGCAAGGGGTACGGGGAACTTCATATAAAAGGGAGCCCGAATCGGCCTGTTTTCAGACGTGTACTACCATCCACTAGTGCAAGCACCTTCACGCCACTTTGTACAACATTATTTTGGACTTAGAAAATTATCGAACGTTTAAATAAAATTCACAATAAATAACATCTGCCTTTTATTTATTCATCATCCACGACTTCAACATCAAATAAAGTGTCTGCGACCTGCATCTATAATAACTTGGTAGCCACTTATCTACTTTTAGTACTACGATAGTAGGTACTAAGCACCAAGATTATTACACTGGCGCTGTCGAACAAAGGAGGTTCAAGGAGCTAAAGACGAGGCGAGCAGTCAAAGCGGCGGATTTCAACTCCAAAGGCGAGTCCAGCAGTCAAGGCGGCTACATTCAACTTCGGAGATCCAGTCCCGACGCAGCGGCTACACCACGTCAGCAGCTCCACGGAGGTAACAGTCAAGGTCTGATCAACCAAGGCGACTCCGGAATCAACGAACAATTCAAGGCGGGCCAGCAGACAATCAAGGAAAATGAACACAGCAGTGGCAACAGCGTTGTTGTGAGTATATTAATTAAGTGAAGATAGATAATTAAATTAAAATTGTATAGCTTGAAGTGCACGTCTCACGTTGATTCATATATGTCAGCGTTTATTTTATACTTGGTGGTGGTGTAAAATAATAGGAAAATATTCGAATAAAAATAAATAAGGAAAAAAGAAAAAAAAATAGGAAACAAGTTTGGGAAGAACTATATACGTATTTTATGATAGACAGCTGTAGACTGATCTAGGATTTTTATGGTAAATAGACGGCAAGGACCGATCTAAGATTTTTTTTGTGATAGGCAGCAGGGACTGACCTAAGTATTTTATGGTATTTTGTAATAGACAGCGGGGACTGATCTAAGAATTTTATGGTATTTTGTAATAGACAGCGGGGACTGATCTAATAAATTAAAGTAGACGGCGATAGGCTGATCTAGGAAATCGATTCGAATTGAATCCGATTTGAATTATATATGGGAATAATTGATTAAAGTGAATTTTTGAATTGAAATATAGAATATAATTGTTAAAAGAAACTAATTGATATATATTGAAGATAGATTTTGAATTTAAAAGGCAGTAGATGACCTTATTGAATAAAAGTAGTTGCAACAAATATTGAAAAGTTTGGAAAAGAAAAATTAATTATAGGGGCCCTAGGATAAGATTTAGAAAATATACTACTACGAATAAGTTGATAGAATAATTATTAATGAAAAATTAATTTTTAGTGTTAGAAAATTAAATGGTAAAGCGCGTAAATTAGGATATTAAATTATTTAGAGAAACATATTAGTAATAAGAAAAATAAGGGATAGGAAGTCGAATCGAATAGCCCGTAGGCGTAGCAAGCATAATATACAACCGCACGGAACCACCTGCACTCACTGGAAACGAAAATGAAGAACTACTAAATACCAACATAACACTGGCGAATAGGGTTATTACTGAATTTTGGGAATTAAATAAACGAATAAATAAAGAAGCATGGACAAATTATATGAATATTAATAGTTATAGGTTGAATAGGCTAAGGCATAGTAATAATATCGAAAGTAAAGTTAGTGGTAATAATAATATTCGTAATAACAATAGTATTAGTAGAGACATAGTTAATAATAGGACACAAACACCTAGCATTAGAAATAGAAATACTTTACTTAGTAATAATAATAGTATTAGCGATGTAGTAGCAAACACTATTAATAGGAATATGACTGAAGCAGCTGGTCTGTGGTGGTCGGATAGTGATAGTGATAGTGATAATTTAAGGAACATAGCAACGAATAGTACAATTAGTAATATGGATGAAGTGGAAGAAATTAGTGATAGCGATAGTAATAACTAATAATGACATTTATAGAAATATACATATCAACAGTTATGGAGAAGGTGTTATGGGTTTACTTAGTGTTAGGGATGATTTAGATGTAATAGAAAGTATTTTTAATGAAGTAGAGGATAGATACGTAGTTAGGGATAATGATGAAGACTGGTAGTATAGAGAAAAAAAAAGTAAATAGGATATAAGAAATATTTTAGATATGTGAAAAAAAATTATAATGTATAGAGATGGTACTAGTTAGTCTTGATAGTTGGCAGTGCGGGAACGGTGGGAGTTGCCACCATATTCTGAACGAACAAGCAACCACCGGGACTCACTGACAATGGACTTATAGATTAATTAGGACATTTCAAACGCATAACGACAGTAGCATTCAGCTGTGGAGAGAGGAGAAATATATATATATGCGTAAGATTGTATATAGTGACCAAAGCCGGGGAGATAATACGAAAATAATATATATATTAGAAATTATTTCAAAAACATAAATTTGAGACTAATGTGCATATATATATTGTTTTAGGTTATCTCTAATTACGGCAGGACACGGTCAGATTCCATATAAAGTGGAAAAATTTCGAAACCAAACATTGATGTATTATGAAAATTACGGTACAGTACGATTGACAGGGGCAACCTGGCAACTGATCACGTATTTATACCATTAAAAAATTACGACCTTAGGCACGACAAATTACAAATGGAAATAAGTGTAATAACTAATCTTTGTAAGAACAGCGTGACAGCATTAGAAATGTGTTCTAGGCTAGACAATATTTTTAAAGTAATGTTTCAGGAAATTTCATTACAACGTGAAAAAATGTACGAATCGATAGGTAGATACGCCGAACAATCGTAAGCAACGACATTTCCAAGTAGGAAAAGACGGGGTCTAATAAATTTCGTAGGTTCGGCTATGAAAACACTATTCGGGGTATGTGACGAGGAATGTGCAAATAATCGGTGGAAGAAATAGGTAAAATTGAAAAACTAACGAACGCATGTTACACATACTTAAGGACCAAACCACGGTAGTTAAATCTACTTTAAAGGGCATTAATAATATATTACATTGCATCAAAATATTACCTATTATTCGTTAACCAACATTTATTGATAAACCGCTGTCTCTATCAGGGACTGAAACCTTTCGTCGGTTTTGGTTTTCAAAAATGTAAGCTTTCGGTTTCGGCCCAGGTTTCAGTTTTCAAAAGTATAAAATGTTGGTTTCGTTAATAGCCTGTTTAGTCTATAAGACTTTCTTTTTTAAAATTTATAATTAATTTTAAGTATCGTATAACGATGTGTATTTATTGACAGCTATTTGTGTGTAGAAATAATTCAAAAAATAATACTAGCATAAGTATGTGACTATTAAAAACGATATAATAATATATTCGAAAAAAAATCAATTTTATTATTTAATAATAAACTCAAGTAGGTAATAGAAAATCATACAAAACGTAATAGGTGTGTTATAATAGGTACCTATATTATGAATAAATTACTTTATGTATTCTAGGCTGCTTTAGGAGAGGGATACAAAAATGCATAAACAATAAATTCATAACAGTAATTATATTCATATATTTTATAACAATAACATCAATATAATATAGGTAGGTATCCATATGTAGAAAATATATATTAGTGACTTGAGGAACAATTTTTATGAAATGTTTTCCTATAATAGAGATATTTGTTCAAACTAAGAACTCGCTGTTTTCCAGGTTTATGGATAATATGTTACACCTGTAGGGCTATAATATAGATTTTTAACTGTGAAAAAGGCGCTAATCGGCATTAACTTGCATTGCCGGAAAGGAAAAAAAAACTGTAATATACATTTCTGGAAATTTTGATTCTCGAACATATTAACATTAAAATTATTATGCTAACTATTTATTAACGAATTGTTATAATTTCCATAAATAATGACGAAATGGTACGTACTGTCTCCACTCTGCATCTACTTTAAATTTCGTATAAAAATCTACTGTACATGTATTGCAGGGTTATCTGGATATATTTGAGTGAAATAATTATTTATTTAAATTATTTATGAATAATACCACCTACCAGGGCCGTATTTAATATTTTGCCGACCATACGGACAACAAAATTTTGGCTCCCCCGATTGATTTTTCCTATTTCACTATTTTTACACAATATTTATTATCCACAAAAAATCAAAAACAACTGTCTCATGATAACTAAATATATGATAATAAATTATATATTATAACAAACTACTATACGGAAGACCGAATCGTGTTATGTCATTATAGTCTTATAATACATTTATTATGCTCTTTTGCACAGTCGGATAATATTTAGACGGTACCTATTTTGTTATAAGATAATGAAGATTGTATTTCTATAGCAATATATATTATACGGCGCAAGCCTCAAGGTATAATTATTATATAGGGATTTGCGATATCCGATTTGGTATTTAGTACGAAAAGCGTTCGTTAAAAAAAATTCACTTCGATGAAAAAATATTCACAGGTGGTAGATTAAGAACCAATATTACACACATTTATTTATACGATATTTATGAGAACGGCTCATAACAAAATAATTGTCCTCTGCATGTTCGAAAAAATCGTTTTACTCCTTCTATAGCCGCTCGACATTTGCCCGGGGTAGGGTATCGCCCACCACCCCCTCCTTAAATACGGCAGGCCGTGAACTGCCGCAATACACAACGACAGCAGCGCTCAGAACGTGGTAGAGGTATACGTGGCTGTTACCCGAATCAGTAGCACGTTCAGAGACGGAGTATTCGGTAGTCGCCCGCTACGAACCCAATACCAGTACCAGTGCAGACACCAGCGTAGTTGCCACATCAAAAATCAGACTTGCAGTAATATACGTCATATATAAGCCATGATTTATTCGCTGTTGCCCCATGGCACCAGGACTTACGGAGTGAGTAAATTGTTCATTTTATGTTAACGATAAGTTTCAAATATTATATTATATTATTGTAACGGTTATTATTGTAACTGCTGCTATGGCTTACATTAATTAGATTAATTTTTATATGAACAGATCCCCGTCTGTGTAGCTTTACCCAGTGCTCCTGATACAAATCACCCCATACAAGATCAAATTGGTGACGATCTAGTTGCAGAAACTATACACTACAAAAAAAAAATTGGAGACACTCAACACTATCTCGTGAAGTGGAGGGATGTCGAAGAACTTTCATACGTGAGAGATACAATCGCACATCAAAAGTTTCCGCAAGTGGTCATCGCTTTTCTAGAGAGGCACCTTGTATGGGACACAGTTTATTAGGTAAATATAATTTAACTTGATTTTATTTATGGTAAACGGTCAGTTTGTACAGTTCGTTGTTTGAAATGCATAACGAGGACATTTTGTACTATTATATTATAAATTATACATAAAGTAAATGTATAAGTATACATATAAGTGCCTATATATGAATGATATAAAGTTTGATGTGATTCAAACATTATTTTATTTATTTTATATTTAAAAGTAAATTAAAGACGTTTATTAATAATACAAAGTGTCCGCGTGTTTTGGCAATATCGGTTTTATCGGTATCGGTTTTGTTTTTTATAACCTATATTTGAACAAATATATAAAAAAAAACAATTTATCATTATAATATGTATAATCTAGTATTTTCAACTCTGCGGTTATACCTGTAAACACTAAACGTATTTATTTATAATGATGTTATCATGTATTATCGGGTATTTTATAATATCGGTACATGCGTTTGAATAGAAATTCAAAGTTTTCAATATATAGGGTATCGGTTCTAAATTTGCATAACATATCGGATTATCGGTTATCGGTTAAAAGTGATATCGGACCATCCCTAATCATTACATATAAAAATGGAGCGTGAAAATGTCGGTAGGTATACCTCATCAATCGAGAACGGCTGGTCCGATTTTGCTCAAATTTTTTTTTAAGATGTTCGTAATTGACAGGAGAAGGTTTTCACGAAAGACAATTTTAATAAATTCCACCGGAAAATAATGAAATCTAAATGTAAAAAATACAACAGTGGGAGAACAATGTATTATATATTGGTTGCTGCTATTGGTTAATCCTGCATGTCTGTTGATTTGTATCATTATTTTTGTCATTATATATTATATACATTATGTATATATAAATTAATGTTTGTGTGTATATTAGACCTCTGGGAAGAAGACAGGCTAATTTAAAAATGGTTAAATTTGATTTTTTTTTATTCATCTGATATTAGTACGGTTATTTGTATAATATATATTTATTACATACCAAATACTAGCAGCCTACTACCTATATATTAATATAAGTATAGGCATAAAGTAAATTTTGTGCGTTCAATCGATAGTTATCTCACTAAAGTCCGTATTATTATAGGTATCTATAGGCAGAGTACCTATTTTTTTTTTATTTTTTTTTTCATGAAAACTCATTAAAAAATAATAATATTTTGCAGATGATGGCTGTATTGTGATGGAGACTTCACTGCCTTCTGCTGGCCCCAATCAACATGAAAAATAAAATAAAATAATGCACAGTCTATATTTATAATGTATCAAAATAATAAATTTTTATTTTTATTTTCAGACATAATATAACAATTTTAATATACTAATTATAATAATATTAATAAAAACACATTATACATTTTAGCTAATATGTAACTGAAAATTTTGCTGATTTTTTTTCTTTATTTTTTATAATTCTTATTTGTAATAGTCTAACAAGGCTACTAAATAAACACGTATACAATTAGTGTACAATTATCTACAGTAAAACCACGTATTGTAAATTTTAATAATTAATTGTTATAATTTTTTTCTTCGAATAAATATTTTGACTGTTGTAAAATGTTTTAAGTTTATTTTTTAAAATTCTGATAAAAATATTATCTTATGTTTTTAACAGGGCATCTATCGACCACAAAGTGCATTTAGTATATCAGGTTAAATCAACCTATATTTACCTAATATAAATTAAATTATACGTTTCGACGTTTTATTTTAAATTTAACTCCTGGAAATTGTTTCATACAGAGTATAAGGTACCTATTTTATAGGTAAATGTAAGTTGCCTCAAAATAAAAAGATTCTAATAACAATTTCCGTAAGTTCGGAATTTGTATATTTGAAAAAATAAGTAAAAGGTAAGTTGAGTCCCGAAAATAAAATGTTCATTGCATTTTTTTAATACTCAATTATCTTTATTAGAAGTCAAATAGTATTATTATATTATTTTATATTGCATAGTTAATAATTATACTATACTAAATAAATAAAATAAAATAATAAATAAATATATGGTATAAAATATTATGTTTTCGGTAAAAATAATATAAATTAAATGTCATAAAGTAAAAACAATATAAATTGTATAAAATATGGTATAAATTATAATATTATGTTCTAGGTGAAAACTTGAGTGATCGGACCGAACAGGTAGGTTAGTGGGTTGATAGCCGTTACCCAACTTACCCACTACTTTTTTTTTACAGGGGACTTAACCACCGCTTTCAAAATGTAAATAATTTACCATTTACCTATAACCCGTAGCTCTCAGCTACATATACGTAGGTCGCTGTCCGAGTTTCTGTCATGCGTACGTCAATTGCGTAAAAATCCGTAAAAATTACATGTACAATAATATATTTTAACACTTTTCTAAATTATAATAAGGTTTTATTAATGTTATTGTAAGAACAATTTATTAGGAGTGTTGGGTCAGAAAATTTATACTACTAGGTTAATATTTTATTACCATGTACAAAAAAAAAACCAAACTAAATAATTATTACTCTTTCTTAAATCAAAACATACATGAATTAACACTAAAAAATAATTAGTTAAACAAAAAAATAGTAAAATATAGATCACATACATACAAAATATAACCAAACACCAATATTCACCTCAAGTGTATAAAACACCAAAACTATGAAGCTAAATGCTGGTAGAGATATACATAAGTATAAAATATATAATATAATAGTTCTATTATATAAGTTCTATTAACATGCCACCCGTAGCTTGAATTAGGTATGCTCGTAATTTAACTGTCAACAAAGGTGTTATCTATATAATCTATTATAAACTGTTTGTAATAAAATAATGAATATAACTAAGCGGGGATTGACCATCGTATTATACACTACCAAAATTATGGTTTAAGCATTCACTGTAGGGTATAGGAACCATGTGGGGTTTCGTGGAAACTGGAAAAACTATAAATATAATAATATTATTTATGTATGTAGTTTTTGGTTTCGAGGTCTTCACAGATAGCCATATTGAATATGTTTGACCTACAGGTGAGTTAAAATAAATTATCTGAACAGACAAGATCTTAGAGCCCTTACACATGTTTCCACTCAACAGCTGGACTTTCAGACGCCGCACCCTGTTGTGAAGACAACCACTGTCAAGGATTTGAGATATTCGATTGTAGATAACTTGTAGTTTTTCTGTCGTGTATAGAAAATAATATGGACACGTTCACCTACGACTTAAAAAAAAATATCAGATAACATAGTCTAGACTGACTTGAGACATTCGACCTGGGTCACACATTGAAATGTATAATATTATATTATGTGCATGTTTGTGTGTTTTGTTTGTTTTGTGTTCACTCAAATGTTCATTCTACCTGGGTCAACAATTATAATATTATATACACAAGTGAGTTGTCCATCGTAATTTAGTTTAGGTAATATCCATAATTTGAAAAATAATTTATGTATGATTGAAAAAAATTAATAATTTGAATATTATGTGATTGACAACTAAAGACTCCAAATTAGTACCTATATTGTTAAATAATAATTTACAAACTATTTAATATTTTTTTAGACAAAAATTAATTAAAAATAATAATAATAAGTTATTGGAAAACATAAATTGTATACAACAATAATATAAAATTATACAGCCTGTAAGGAACGATAATATGTGGAATAGGTACGTATGTAATATCGATAATAGTAACAAGTTACAGTCTGTTAATTGATAATTAAGAAGATTATTCATACCGTATAAACCATACTTGGTCTCGTATTTTACCTTAAAAATACCGTAATCACCTTACTCGTGATTCCATGTAGCAATAAATTCGAATTACCGGACCCCACTTCCTTGCCAGAAACACAGAATATAATAAATTTTAGTACCCCTCGTCGCCAATTGGGCATATTCCTCGCTATAAATGTAACATTTTTTTTTTTTATCTAAATCCAATTAAAGTTAAATATTCATTTAAGTATTCACTTCGGCTGTAGTCAATTTGCACCATTTTTTTTTTTAAATCCGTATGTAATTTTCATCAAAATAAGGATATGTAATTTGCACCATCCTCAGGTAGTAAGAAGTAGGAATTGTAATTTGCACCAAAATTATAAATAAATAATCATTTTGGTGCAAATTACAAACACTACTTTCGACTACCTGCAGAGTGGTGCAAATTACATATTATCTTTAATTCGGTGCAAATTACAAACTCCCTTCAATTCAGCCGTGTATAGGTATTGACACACACGGGTTATTTGACCCATTGAAATTACCTGGTAATTTCGTCGATGTTTTTAATTTACAAACTATTAAAAATAAAAACTAAAAAATATACTAACGTTTGTCATTTGTCACGGTTGGTTACACTTTCATATTATATGTAACCACTTTAGCAACCTCATAGTATGCTCTTCGATTACTCTTGGTAGGTCCCATCCATGTACATATAATTATTTACCTATGTGCATGGCAATCGACAGCTAATATAATTATATAAAAACAAATATGGCTAAATATTTACGTCAGCAGCGAGGATTTAACACAGCGTCAGGGTCGCTGTCGCCCATTTACTTCGAACAATTTTATATTCTTATTTAAAATAAACCCGACCACGGTCACTATAATAATAATTAATAATAATAGACATGCGTATCGGCCTCCTCTCTCGCCAACGACACGTGATCAAATAATAATTTGATATTATCATATTTTGTTCATCGCCTGTACCGCAGATGTCGTCCTATGTTGTGTTATTATTATTAATTTCTATTCCAATCGAACGTGCACTTCATATTCATTAATATTAATGAGTACTAATATATTATTATAATATAACAAATTAAAAAAAACGCATTATTCTTTTAATTGTTTAAGCAATAGCTATGGCGGGAGCCAGTGACGTAGCCAGGATTTCTAAAAGGGGGTACAATAATTGTATTGTTTTCACTATAAAAAAAAAAAAAAAAATAGAAATAATTCGTATTCCTACTTATTATTATATATGAC